TTTTTTTTGAACAGGAGGAAACGTCGATTCCTGATGTCATCCCAGACACTCCTGACAAGGTTTGCTGACATATGGTTTCCTGTACACCAGTTCCTCAGATATAGCCTCAGATAAATTTTATTTGAATGTTTCTCACATAAGATTTTATTACATTAGATTTTAATAATGTGTATCACTACATCCGATGTCAAAAGTACCTCAGAAACAACACATGGAATTGAAATGGCTAATGACAGTTTCAAGAAAATGAGTCTGATCCTGAAAGTCATAATCATGTCAATGACAAGTAAAATAAAGAGTTTTAAAAAGCTATGCATTGTCAGCCCTTCAATACGGTGATGAGTACTGGACAATTATCAAAGATAGTAAAAATAAACTTGATTCAACGGAAACATCGTTTCTTTGGAGACTGTTGCGAATTTCATGAAAGGAAAAGGAACCAAATGAGGTCATGCTGAAAGAAGCCAGAGTGAATCACTCTCCATTAAAAACAATTAAGAAGAGATACATGCAGTTGCTGGGACATTAAAATAAACATAAAGCAGACTTGCCTACTCTAACGGATAATCCGTAACTGTTACGGAAAAATAACATCGGTTACGGAAGGCTGAAATATATTGCGGAACACTTCATCGTTTTGAAGAGAAAAAAAGGGAAAAAAATTATATTCAGGTAGCTCGGGAGCACAACTTGGAACCCAGGTAACAGTCTTAATCCTTAGTAAACGCTGCTAATACGGGTGCCCATTGGGGGATCGGGTCTGGTCTGGGCGGTTTGCTCGCCAGACTGAGGGCGCGAAGCAGCTATACTTTCACTCTCTGCTGGAAAGCCCTAGCCTAGGGGCTTTGTGGGATCGCGAAGTGACAAGCACGCTGCCTGCGACTTATGGTTCGTTTTTCGTTTAAGTCAAATATTTTAAAAGTGACTTGGATCTTGTCAATGGCCAGAGGTCAAGGGTGATGTTGAAAATGAAAACAAATGAAAAGGCTATCACGCAAGTCACAACAGCGATAGTAATTTGAAGTGAACAAAGTTAAACAGCATTGTGTGATTCAATTGTTTTTACGTAGAAATCTAGATCTAGATATTTAAACAGAGTATTTGATCAATGAATACAAATGTGAAAATACAAGTCACAAATAGTTATTGACAATTGTGATTTCAAACTGGTGGGGGTTTTTTTAGCTTCTAAACGTGCTAGTTTGGGTAGACTATGTTACGGAATTTCACCATTTTGTTACAGAAAAAAAATGCTAATTGTTTCTGATTTTCACATTTCAAAGTAGGCAAGTCTGATAAAGACCTTAAATTAAATCTTTTGCTTTCACTGGATAAATAGAAGGCAAAAGAGGAAGGTGTAAACCAAGAACAACTTACCTAACGGGACAAAATGTGTGATAGGGAAAGACCAGGAAAGAGGGGGGTTTGTTTTTAAGAATATCCAAGCAGTGAAATTAGTTGCAAACTATGAACACTGATGTCTGTTTTAGATCGAGCATGCCATGATGATTGTGAAGTAAAAGAAATGTTTATTGTTTTTATGCCAAGCAAAGTTTCATTTCTTTCTGAGAAAAGGTAGTTATTGCGATTGGAGTTTTATCCTGTAAGGCATGTGAGTTTAAAATTTTTTCATAATACGTTCCATTAAATTCATATGAAACACGTCTAATTGTGGATAGAGTAGCTTTTACATATTTACAGAACAGATGTGGGTGGTTGGCGGGTGCTCT